TTCAAGGGGGCTGAATACTTTTGCAAGCCATTGTAAATGCAAGACAGAGTTCCCGTAGCAGGCATGTTTCTACATCAATTGTTCAAAGGAGACTGCATGAATCAGGCCTTTTTTGTCAAATAGCTGCTATTAAACTACTGCTAAGAAAAAGCAACAAACTGAAGAGATTTGTTTGGGCCAAGAAACCCAAGGAATGGACATTCGACCAGTGGAAATCTGTGCTTTGGTCTGATGAGTCCAAATTTGAGATCTTGTTGGAAAACCATTTCAATTGACTACCTCATGAAGCAAAGTTTTTATCACTCAAATTATACTTCAAAGTAGTTTAAAAGAAATTGGACTATATACAGACAAACTCCTACTGGATACAAAAAAATAAAAAAAATAAAGCTGCACTGAATCCTCACCAAAACATGAATGAGTCTATATGAACATTTACTATTGCAACAGGAAATATATTACATTAAAAAAAATTCTTCTTTGGGTATTCGTTAAAAAAAGTCTACCACTGACATATTTTTAGATTTAAGGATTCCACAAATCTTTCATCAAAGCCCAAACAGAAAAAGAAAATGTGAAAAACTGGCTGAGCTAAACATCCATAGGCAAGTCAAGGACCGAGAGCTTTTCAGAGCACAACAGCTTGAGAACAAATGTCAACATTTTTCAAACCTTTACTGAAGGTTCTTTTTAAGGTTATCCCCACACTTAAAAAGCACATTCAGAAGGAACCACTTCACACTTTTACGAGTCTTTTTCTAGATCTCATTCAGTTCACAGAGATGTGTTTTAACACTGGTTATTTTTTGACCATGAGTTATTTTTTTGACCAAAGAGTCACAGTTTCTTAACAGAAAGGTTGGTACATATGAGGCATGTGTGGTTTATTATTATTTTGCTAATAAGCACACACTAGAGCATGCATCCACAGACAAAGAGATATCGCTTTGCCAGGAGTCACTGCTTTGCTCCCTCTCACCCTCTTGTCTTTTTCACTGGGCTTCAGTTTGACCTTATTTGGCCTGAAAAACTGCTTTTCACCCACTGAGCTCTAACAACCAGTGACATTTCTTCTGCCTACTGGTACCTCAGTTGTTTGGCATCTGCATTTTATCTTTTTATTTGTATATTCAAGGTTCCCAGTGTTTTTTGCATATTGCATAGTGTTAGGAGAAGTACAATCACTATCTGCACATTACTGCTGATGTTTACTGCATATTAACATAGGCCCCAGACATGTGACATAGGATGATACTCACATTCAAGCTTGTCCTCAGGACGCCCACCCTCTAGCAAGGAGAGGTAACACACAATGTCCTTAAGCTGCACTGTATCTAGGGGCCTGGGCAGAGTAGGGGTCTTCAGAGGGGTGGAGTTGCCTTTGATCAGCTTTAGTCCTGCAGGACCAACACATGAAAGGTTAAAACATCCTTTATGCCACCTCTAATGTTAGCCCAATAAGCTACTGGGTTTGGATGTCTGATATCAGTCATATAGTCAGAACAATCTGCATGTGTATGGTGTCTAGGGATGACAATACTTCAGCCCTATCACATTGTGTTTAATGGTCCAAATCAATATACTTATTCTTTACAGCCTCATAATTTGGCATAAAATGAACAAATTGACACATATTTTCATGCTCTACATTGCTGCAACTCTGCTGTTTACTCTGCTTTAGCTCTTGTCCTTTTAAGGTCCCACTCTCCTTTGAAAGGTCAGCTGGTCCACTGAAGATGAGACTATAGTGGTTATATACATAAAGGTTAATGCCACTGTGACAGCCTCTCATTTGTGAGTATTGGAGAACTAAGCTGTTCAGTGAAAATGCTGTAAACGTCACAATATAGTACATAACACGTACATTACAGTCAAGTACAACATGTAGAAAAACCCAATCAGCTGTTTTGTTTGTTTGTCTTTTGTTTGTTTGTTTCTTGTTGTTTTTAAGCTGTAACACTGGGATTTTAGCTGTGCAGAGAAGCAGGTTATAAATGTTTTGAAAGGGGCAGCTGTTTTACATTAGTCTTAATGGGTTGTGTTTCATTCAATATTCCGTGTTTGTACCACAGTGTGACAACAAAAAGAGAAAAATATGCAAATGAAAACAGATTTACTCGAAATTTGTCAGTGTTAAAATGCAGTGTGAGCAGAGAGGGTAGGGCAGAGGCAAACACTTAGTAGTGTTAGCTACATTATCAATTCACTGTGCTCACATAAAATAAAAGAAAGCAAACAGAAAACATAAATAGATAATGTTTCTCTTGTTATGGGAAAACTAAAGCTCAAAATAAAGCCTACAGGAGTGAGTAACATCTGTACTCCTACTCTGTAGGAGTATGTAGAAAAACCAGCTTTACAAAATTAAAACACACAACATCAAATCAAAGATTAAAAAACTAAAAAATGTAAACACTAAGATTAAATCTTAGAAACCATTTTCACATCAATAAAGACATGCAAGACTCAAATGCAAAGTCAAAACAGCACAAAATAATAACCTAATAACCTAAACTAAATGTAATAGTTAAAGAAGTAAAATGACAAAATGTCAGATTGTGCTGAGACATGAATTCTACTGTCTCTCCAATTCTACTGTCTCCCAGGCCATGAAGGGCCTTTAAAGTAATAACAAAATCTTAATGTCACTTTGAAAACAAATTTTTAGGGGTCTTTCTATTGCATTTTTAATTTACTGACTGATTTCTGATTGATACCGGTTTAAATAGTGTTACAATGGCCTAACTGAGAGGGAAAATCAATCATGACAAATGAGTGCCATTAAAAGTTAATACTTAGCAAAATTCCTCAGACGGCAGTAGCAGTAGCGAGATTGGGTAACTTTAACAATAATGATTCCATAACGACCTCACATTCATCCCATGGGTGGATAAATGTCATAGGTCATGACACACAATGAACTGAAGAGAATACTGGGTTTTTTAAGTGACCATAAATAGAGAAGTTCTGTTGTTTAAGAGAAAACGGATACATTAGAAAAATATGTCCTTTATAAGTGCAAGAAAAGGTCCGCTATTAATGACACAAATTAGGGCAACCGTCTACCAAATGAACTGTGAAGACTAAGCTTTAAATTTACTGGACCTGAAAACAGGAATTTGGGTTTGGTTTCTCATTAATGTCTGAGTTTCTTCTTTAAAACATATCACTTGCTTCATTCTGTGTCATTAGATGGACACAAAGGGTGATGGGAGGGCTTATAGCTAGCATGCTGGATCAATAAGGGCGAATCGAAACACTCGCACAGGCTGCACTGATCCAGTTTCACACAGCCTCGTAATTGGGGCAAACAATGTGATCAAATGAAGCATGTACAAAAGATCATGAGATGAATAATCTAAGTTAATGGCCTTAGGTAAACTATATTTCTTGTTATTTTTCTAAGTTTTTTTTGTTCTGTGGACAGCTTTTGTCCTGATTGAGTTAAACTTACATTTAATACATGAGTAAATACAGTAACCTGTTAAGATTCTTTAAACCTTTGAATCAAACCAATTACCAGGCTGTGTATTCAAACTATATTAGGATATTATGTTCACTCTTTATGATTATTAATTTACTTACTAATGCACTACCAGCTAACCAAGTATTACTTTCAAGAAAAAAATAATGCCTCTATGTAAGGCTACAAATGAATTTATAGAATGGCAGTTATAGAAACCTCATTGTTTTGCTGTAAATGTACTCCAGTACTCCTCAATCTCCACAAGGAAAGTTTTCAATTTCCAGTCACAGAATAAGACTAGTAACTGGAGAACATTTTTTTATATAACCTTTCTATAATAAACTCATTTTTTCCTGTGGTTCAATGGCAGAAACATGTCTAAATCTGGGAGGCAATTCCATTATTTTAACTGTGCTTCAAATCAAATGTAACAACTAAAGCCCACACACATCATCACACATCATTTTTAGTTATTGTTATTTAAGTTCACAGTAATTAGGAACAATACAATGTTTTTGGAGGAAACCTAGTTATGAAAATTTTACATTTAATCAAGCCTACACAAACATTTGCTACACATTATTTACATAGTTTTAACAGAAATTTGTGAATAGCTCTACTACAAGGTTATCTTTCCCAAAGCTGGGAGTCATGACAATTCTGAGTTTGTTTTGTAATTATTGTCAGGACACTTAGAATGTGGTCCGGTTGTACTTTATCTGAAGCTGACATTTCACACAGATGGTGCAGCTGTCTTGTTTCATGAAACAAAGCTGATGTTTTTGTTAGACAACCCATTATTCCAAAAAGTTCTCCACTTAAATAACAATATACACTTACAACTACTGTTTTAGATATGATTTTCCATCTATGCATTATGTCAGAAAAGGTATCCTCCAAAAACAGAGTGCTTATGACAGATTTGTTCACTGCATGTAAAAAGAAAAGAAGCTATATCTTAAAAATGGTTGAATGTATTCAAAAAAATTCAGAATATTTGGTACCAGAAATGTTATGTTTTAACTGAATCTCTTGGTTTGGGCCTTATCTATTTTATTGTATTTATTTTTATTTATTTATCTACTCATTCTCACACACACACACACACACACACACACACACACACACACACACACACACACACACACACACGAAAGTTCACTATTAATATTGTTGTTAACATTGCTATTAAGTTTAGATATGTTTCATGTATTTGTTCTTATAAGGCAGACAAACAGATGTTTAAACACCCTTTTTATTTATTATGGGAAGAGAAAATATTTTTCCCTCATTTTCTTTTATTTATTTTTAAACCTTGAGTGATCTGCTTAAGTTTTCCTTTTGGACCCATTATACAGGAAGTAAAGCTGAACCAGGAGATTAGCCAACTCAAGCTCTGGCAGTATAGTCAATAGCTAGTTCACATACACACTGTTCTCACTGCTTAGTCACCTTGTGTGTCATGATATCACACTGGAGAAATATACCACAATAAACTGAACATTATGGTTATACAAGTTTATTGTTCAGTTTATGAAAACCATAAATTAAGATTACATTTTGTATTTTGACATTTTTATTGAGGATTTATTAAAGGCCGCCAATATTAGAAGTGTAATAAAAACAATACCAAGACAGTTTTGCCCAACTTACTCTGAGTTTATTGTCTCAAAAATTCAAATCATCCACCCCAACCTCCTTCCTCTGTGGACAATGAAACTTCATAAAAACCTTATCTAATGAGAGCTAGAGAGCCTGGTCACTTGAAGATAAAACACATGTTGCTTTTTAGCACTCAGTGACACGAGACAGACTTTATTATTAATTATCTGAGCTGGTAGGCAGTCAAGGAGGTGTCAAAGCCAAGTGGCAGTGCAGGAGATGCTGTCTGAACGAGGACTGATCTGAAGTGTTAAGTATTATTTTAATATCAGTTAGTCATTACCACACACAAATGAGACATTAGTATATTGCTATAAACAAACAAAACTATTGCCAAGTCAATTGGCAGCTTCTACACTACAATTTACACTGAGTGCCATCGGGCTGGACTTGGCATTAAATTGAATAAATTGTCCAATGGCACAAAACAGAAACAGTGACGGCGCCATTTTTTTTCACACAGCAAAGGAAGAGTAAAGTGATTCATTCTCTACGATGACAATAACAATCCCCAACAGAAGCGCAGTGAAGGACGAGAATAACTGACATATTGGCTGAACCTTAGCAACACAAGTGGGGATGTTTTCTTATACACATCACTGACTATAAAACACCAACATGCTGTGTTTATGAACTGAGGGCATGTTAGGGAAAGAATTTCTTTTCTACACTTACCAGAGACTCGAGGTTTGTCAGAAGATGAGGGACTGGGTTTGGGTCCTTTGTTGCTAAACGACATGTAAAGGTGTTGACAGAACTCTTCAGGGAGTTCACTCTCCAGGAATGTTTGCATAAAGACCTTAAAGCCCTGGAAGTCAATCTCCTAAAACAAAATAAAAATAAGAGCGCTAGTTGTTGAATTCAGGTTTGAGTGAAATGTCGAGGATTTTCAGTATCATGTTTTCAATATTTTGCAAAATGTTGCACATTTTTGTACTTGGCTATGTCTGATTTGTTTTGGGTTTTAGCTTCTTTTATTTACTGCACTATGTGAGGCCTTCATACAGATGCCTTTTTATGCAGCTTTGATGACAACTGTTTTTGTTTTGTTGTGTTTTGCTAGCTGTATCAATTTGCAAGTTGTGTTCAGACAGATACAACAGTGAGCCTATTTTTTTTAATGTCATCTTGCTCACGCACATGGTTATTGCCAGATTGTGGTAAACACTTTAAGGGTTTAATATTTTCCTACAATAGGTTGCATTGCCTCTAGAAGTTTCTACAATCCTTAAGAGAGTTCAATTATTTAGTGATTAGAGAAACTAGAAAAACACAGACAATAAATGAAAAATAAATCAAGAGGAAGAGACAGCAGATACCTGGCTGAGAATTTCCTGCTTCTACACTCCGCAGCATTGAAGAAAGAAAGAATCGCGACATATTCATGGAAGTATCACATGGTTATGTCATTTAAAATGCACAAAATAAGCACATCACATATTTACACACATTTTGAAAATGCAGTTATGTAGTTGTGATTATCTGTTATTGAATTAGAGATTTGTGAACTGTTATGATGCAGCAATTAGTAGTTGAGTATTTTTTTTTTTTTTTTAGTTGCGTTCTTGATTATTGTTTTATCTTTAAAATGTATGCATGTTTAAAATCTCTCTAAATCACTTACTCATGTTTTCGGAAAGAAATGCTGAAGTGTGATATATGCTTGCTGTTGGCATTTCCTGAGTCAATAGACTATAAACTATGTGTTATATAATCCAGTATAAACTGAACATACCTCTTCTGGATTGTATTTAGCCAACACACCATCTCCATGGAACTCCTGCAGCACATCCTTCAGCTTCTTGGTTGAGTCTATGAGAAAACATTCAGACATGCTTTATTTGTGTTATGTTTTATATATGATTGATATCTACATAATTCAGTTATATTATATAGTTCAAAGTACTTTGCATTTTCTGGTTTTTAATTTATAAAAACAAATGTGGGTTCATGGAGTTACCCTATCTGCAGTAGGTGTCATTTTTTTCTGTACCCATGCAGGTGTGGATGCACCTGTAAGTGCTATAGAGGCATGCACGTCATGCACTCAGTATTGCTGATTTAACTTGGATGCAGCATTTTGATGCCTACAGGGAGACACACCTCCATATGTGAGTCAGACCTGTGAAGATGTATTCTGCTCTACCAACTGTAAAGGTCAGACCATGAATGAAACCTGACTTAATATCTTTTAGATCATTTTTTATATTAACCATTATTCAGGGCTTCATTAAATATATCATCCACATTTAGTACAACTACAAACCAGCCATGGCCTTTAACAGGACACGTAAACAGGCATGGCAGACATTTGTAAAAGTACCTCAAGTTCAAATACAGGGCAGGAGTTGAAAACACCAACCGGGGATAACAACTAGATAAAACAGAATTGTGAACACATGTAAAGGTCACAATAACATACTAAAACAAATACAATACCAAATAACTATTTTCAGCAGGGAAGAGATGGACCATTAATGAAATATGCAGGCTGCTTGCAAAGTGAATTAGTACTTAGATAAAGGAAAATGTATCAGGTTAATTCCCCTAAGATGTAAAAAATGTGGTAAATTACAAGTTCTGGGAAAAAGTATTCACTTGAAATAAAATAATACACAAACATAATACACTTAACTTGTATAAGGTACTACTTCTAAGGCAGACAGAAGAATAAATAGCCCTGAATAATTTTCATTTTTTATTTTTGGTAGATACATCTTTAGCATTTTTAAAAAATACTTCTCATTTATGATCTAAGCGCTATATTTTGTCGTGACATGGAAAAATAAATCCTGAACACTCAGTTTATAGTTGTAGCAAATTAACAGCTAGAAAACTACAAGTGTGAATATTTTATATACAGTATGATCTAATTTTATTGTTAGAGGTAGAGTGTACAGGATTTAAATATACCAAAACCTTTGTATTCCTTCTAGTCCATATGAACAGCTGGTGTATTTGTATAGCCAAATTACTGTATCTTTCAAGTTAAGGGAAAACTAAGCAAATATTTACTGCTCATTACTTATTAATAACCAATCTCTATACACCCACTGGCTGAGATGCAGATGTTTGTCTAGCATTGATGATTGAGGCGGTGCCTCGGTGTGGTTGTTGCTCGGACCTCAGCTGCAGCTGTGATTTCATCCTTCTGCTGCTCTTTTTCTGCTGGATAATTTTAATTCCACTACCAATTCAACCTGCAGCATTTCTGTGACAGATGTGCCACTGCTACTGCATGCAGGTATTGTTACATCCAGTGCAGACTAATGTGTGACAGTCAGACTCAGCATAGGCAGTTGGGGGACAAGGTGGGTGAATGTAGTAAATGTGAATATGAATACAGTATATCTGCTCTAGTTATCTCTCTAAAAGCAGTCGTACACACACAGCTGAAGGTGTGCCCACTTTAACTGTGGTCACAGTCGCGTGTAGCATACATTACATGATAATATAACTCGATATGGGTAAATATTAAATGTAAACATTATGTAAAGTTAAAAATCTGAATTGAACCACACAAAAATGATATAACTATTGTCATTTCCCTGAAAGAGACAAAATGCCAAAGACTGCTGTGACTAAAAAACAGACTGAAATCACCACAGTGGCTCATTATTTTCACTCTCTGTTTAAGCACTCAGCACTGGACAAAAATAACTTCATCAGGCAGAGATTTGCTGTGATAATTACTGCATGCTACAGAGAGTTTATGAGCCCTACTGCTGAATCAATTTGCTGCACCACAGATACCAGGTTCTAATGTTAGTGAAGTTAATTTTCTCACATTTCTCTCTAAGCACAAGTTGGTGTGTGCACATTACAAATTACATTAAGAAGCTTGTTTAAGTTTGTGCTTCACGTATGGTATCTTTCTGCTCTCTTTATACAAATGAAAAAGGCCTGTGAGGGATATTTTTTATGTTGATAAGTAATTACTGTTTAATTACTATTTTTCATCGTCACCAACAGATAAATATGCACTGGCCATTGGTCAAGATGGCCTACTGAAATTCAAACTGAGTATCAGAATGGTGACTAGAGATGATTTAAGGGACTTTGTGCACAGCATGATTGTTGGCATCAGGTGGTGGATCTGAGTGTTTTAGAAACTGCTGATCTGCTGGGAGTTTTCAACACAACCATCCCTACGGTTTACAATAAAGAGCCCAAAAAGAAGAAATTATCCAGTAAATAGCAGCCCTTTGTGCAAAAATGCTTTGTTGATGTCAGAAGTCAGAGGAGAATCAGCAGACATGCTTCGAGCTTTATAGCAAGGCAATCCTTACTCAAAAAACCACTTGTTACAACCAAGGAATGCAGAAGACCATCTCTAGATGCACAACATATCAAAAAACTGAAGCAGGTCACAGCAGCAGAGGACCACACTGAGTGCCACTTCTGTTAGCTTAAAAACATGAAGCTGCGGTTATAATTCACATAATTCACTTTTTGTCTTGATTTCTGTTGCAGCACTGGAATGGTAGGGTTACAATTGGGTGCAAACAATAAGACAGCATGAATGGTACCAGTGGTTACTGGTGGTAGTGATGTAATAATGTGGTTGTGTAATAATAATGTAAAAACACGTTGTGCCCCTTAGTACTAGTGGAGCATCAACTAACACCACAGGCCACCTGAGTATTGGCGCTGACCATTTGTATGTTGCAAAGTGAAAATCTGGTTTCTGGAACCTGACGGTGAGTTCACTACATTGTCAGTAGATCTTAATCTACTAGAGCAGCTCAGGGTGTGCTGAAACAGGAGATTTACATCAAGGATTTGCAGCAATAGTGTGGTGTTATCATGCCGATATGCACCAATGTCTGAGGAATGTTTCCAGCACCTTGTTGAATCTGTACCATGAATAATTAGAACAGTTCTCAAGGTAAAATGGGCTCCAATCCAGTTCCAACAGGGCATAACTGAAGTGTCCAGTGAACATATGTTTGTCTGCTTGTGTGTTTGAGCTGAATAAATGTTTCTAGAACTAAAATCCCAACCTGCTATGAGGTAAATCCAGCAGCCCGGGAAGCTGAGGTTATGCTGCTGTTTATGAAACCGAACAGCATGCCCCAGATTTATAATCATCTGATCTGTTGAGAGGTTAGCCTTGCAGTTAAGGAAGGGAAATAAAGCAAATAAGAATAAACCTGTATAAAAAGAATTTGATAGAAAAAAAAACGTATTTCAGAGAATCAGACCTTAAATAGATGTAGTTTGCTGTAGAGCCACCAGTTACTGTACAAGAGCTTGGACCTTATTTACCACACTGCAGATTCTGAAGAAAAGACATGTCCAAAAATCTATGTGTTATTGCTAATAATAGCAGGTATTCTGTCTTTATTTGCATTTGCATTTGAGCTCTCTTCCCCTCTCGACAGCAATTTGTCACCTCCTGCACTAATAGCTTTGGATCTTTGATTTTCTCAGGACGCATTTTACCAATACAGACTAGAAATAAACAACCCACACTGAACTGACTGTGTGTCATCATTATTGACCATCTTTATGAGCACACCAACTACGCAAAACCATTACCGAGCAGAGTGATTATGTATCCACTGCCTGTTACATTCAGCAGGCACAGCTGAATTACAGTGTGTTTTCTCTATCAGGATAATGATTTAACCATTCTGTGCCACACAATAATGAGGAACAACAGAACAGAAATGTAATGTTTTTGAGGCTCATAAACACTCTGAGGATTTTTTTTTTACCTTCTTTGGTAAATAATTGCCCTTCTGTTAAACAGCTCACTGCCGCATAACTTGCATTAGTAAATCTATTATATGGATAGAAGCTCTTAATTGTTGTGAGCCAGATTTTAGGTGCCTGCCTCAGCACACGGCCATTAAATCGTTATGAAAGTGTGAACTCCTCACTTTAATGAGAATGAAGGGTGAGATGCAGTACAAGGGAGATAAAAGTAGAGATTAAAAAGGAAGGCGAGGGGATGGGATGTCCATTGTTATAGCTCAGATAAAGGGATATTTTAATAACCTGTAGCTGCAGAGGGCACAAAGAATTGCCCCAAGCTCATTGAAACATAATTATCCAGAAATTGTCTTCCACACACACACACACACACACATCCACGTGCATGTGCCTCCACACATGTGCAGATAATTGCCCATTATGACCACTATGTCTTTTTTTAATTATACTTCTTCCCTTCTCCCCTTTCTTCTATTTTGAATGATTCAAACCCAAAATATTTGCAAAACACATAAAAACCCCACCATAATGCACTGTGCCAAAAAGAAGAGGAGCGTTTCACAGAATAGAGAACAATGTTGTTTTACACCAAGTGAGAAGCTGGTACAAGAGCTCAAGAGATGGAAAGCATTAATTATTAAGATTCAAACTAAGAGCAAATGAAATAAAAAATTGTTTCAAATGACTAAAACATGTCTTGTTTGGGACTGAAAATAACTGACATATGAAACATCTACTGTGACGTTACACAAGGACACTACAAAAACACCACTTAGGTTGTAGAAACACTGAATACGTAACAACTATTCTTCTCCACAGCTAGTTCCATAATTTGTCTCACTTTAAACGATTTACTGTGACTGGTGTTCGTATCTCCAGCGTCTGTCCAAAACTATGCGTGGGTGGTGCACGGCGTCCTGCAGCATGCCAGGTATCATCATATTTTCCATTCCTGGTACCATTTCAAATGATGAAATGTGTCAACATGTTGGAGTGTAACATAAACTCCAGGAATCCAGAGCGCAGCCTGGTGAGCAGGGAAGCCAACTGTTGGGCTGCAAATGAATCAATCATAGCTCGCCACAAAGATTAAACGCTTCAGCAGCTTCAGTTTTCTACATCAGCAAGACAAGTTAGAGCAGGCAATTACAACGTCAAGATTATATAATTAGAACAACTGATGTTAACCACAGCGACTCTAACTGCACTGCAGTTTACATTAACAGACACACTGTTGTTGTTACCGTGGTGGTTTGATGCTACTGGAGAGAATATGTGTTTGTGCGTAGTGCACGGGAACGTCTGGGTTTTGCTTCCATTTATGAGGAGGATTACGGAAGGCATGATGCTGAAATCCTGCCAGCTTTCCAAGAACTTCCAGTGACGAAGTGAAAACTTGCCTCAACTCAAAACTCACGTGTGAATTGGAGAAAATTAAATAAACAAAGCAGTGACACGAGTTAATGAGGAGATACTTAAACATATTTGTTTTGCTTTTGTAGCAGAGCGTTCGAGCAGAATACGTCATCTATTTCCTTTTTTGTGGAGGGATCAGTCTAGGATATGTTTATCCTAACAGCTTTAATGTTTCAGCCTGTTAGCAAACAGGATAGCCATTTTTTTGTTGTTGCAGAGGTTAAATTCTCGTCTTTTTTATATAAGGAAAACTATGTCGACCTGTTGCCAATTAGAACCTAACTAAGAGTGACTTAAATTCGTTACAAAACACATTTACTTGAATATGAAAGGCACGTAGAGTAAATTATTATTAGAACCTTATTTCTAAACAACAAAAGTGATATTCCTCAAGAACAGGTTTCCTTCTCTTTTTTTTTTTTTTTAAATCTTTATAGGCCTCAACCACTCAGGGAACAAAACATTCATTGCCTTAGTTATTGCAGACTAAGCTTTGCTTTCAATTCCAGCCTGCCATGTCATAAATAATAGGAGGGCAACACAAAGACCCGATGTTATAACAGCTGACATGTAATCTGTAGATGCTGATTTGAGTCCTTGTTCAATTGGTGGGTTCTCCTCTCTCAGGATTGTTTTATTTATTTTTTTTATTTTCTTGTTGTTATGATGCTCATTCACTGCCAGGGTAGTACACAAGTAAAAATATCCTTTTATAAAAAGAATAAAATGTGCAATACACATCTACTGGAAAAGTAAATGCAGTCACACAGTCGTAGGCTCTGTCTCAGTGCCATGCAGCCTGTGAGAAAAGAAGCACTAATGGAAAAGTCTCCTATGGACTTAGCAGAAGCAAAATACTCATTTTCCAAACTGCAGGAAAAAAAAACATGATGTGATGATCTACCCTTATGTTAAAGTGCGTGGGTTAACTAAGGGAGAAGAGCACCTCTGTGTGTTAACTGATTGCATTTAAAGGCTGTGCAATAGGAGACTTTGGAGGTGGGCTGTAATCTGTCTTTCCAATCAGAAGTGTTTTCTGTGCTTTTTTTCAATTGGCTGTGCAGGAAGATGGTTTGGGTGGGATTAGCTCAACTCTGTCCATAACTAAAACTGGCCTAGTGAGTGATCGGGCTTTTCTCAGTTTCAGTGCTCTCCCCATGATACACCCTGAGGTAAACGAAATGTGGCAGTAACAGCATGCTGATTCCAAATATAGAGTGCAGGCTTTTCAATTTAAAACGATTCTGGTTCACTAAGACAAACATGGTGGTAAAAACAAAACTGGGAGGTGCATGCATTTCATGAAACTGTAATTTTGCATGCATATCCATTTTGTCTGTAAGGAAAAACATTTCTAAGCATAAAGTGCAGAATGAGGCCCAGTCTTATTGTATAGATCCCAGTAAGAGAACAATATTCTCCAGAATGCTGGGATGAGAAATTACAGGAAATGTCCGTGTATACTTACCGGCTCAGTTATCTAATCCCAAGTATCTCTTTTATTTAAAAAAAATCTGCTGATGAAAAGTCAATTGCAGTTTTCTGCTTCTTCACAATAAATGTTTTCACTCATCTGCTCAAAGACCAAGGTCAGCATTAAGCTTCAATCAAAACAATGAAACATTTTCATATTCCTATCCTCCTCTGATTATACATGACGTATCTACAGAGAAGCATGTTTCATGCTGACCTGAACAGAGAAGTGTTTTAATGGCAACTGTAGATCTCGGTATCACACAGAGGAGTCACCGTGCATGACTTCAACATTTCAACTATTTATCGTTTGGATCAGAACATCAAGAAACTTGTTGATTTAACTTCTGTCCGAATGTAGGCTGAAAACACAGTTTACACAAACTAGTTTAAAAGATGGATCTGTGTATATAACTTAAACCTGTAGGTGATCTACAGTTTATTAAGATGTCACCAAATAGATTTTCACCTTAAATCCTGCACTCAGAATGTAGACAAAACTTTATACTTTCAGGACAAAAAAATAATAAGGAGTAGTATGATGTAAACAAATCTGCTTGCTAAAGAAAAACAGAAGAAAAGGTGAGAGGGAATAATAATGACTGTTTGGTGACACGGTGTTTGTGAGACTGCACATAAGTCCATCTCCTTTGCCTATCCCTTAGTTTAATTCTCATAACCCTCTCTGGTTAGACAAAGAACTAAATAAACCAGACACAAACCAGACAATGAATCTGGCTTTAAGCATTCCCAAGAAAGCATATTGGTGTATTTCTACTACAAAACATGGAAAAAGTACACAGTAGATATCAAGTTACCAACATTTGATCAAGAGACTGAAGTTCCAGTCTCCTACTGTTAGGTTAAATCATCACAAATACTTTGTAATAATTGACTCTCAAGCTACCTGACTGTGATTATGAAAAGAAAAAAATTAATGAAACAAAATTCATCTTTTCAGAAGAATCTAAGCCAATTTTCTGAGGTTACCATGGTTCTGAAGTCTGGTCATAGACTGTCATGTCGTTACACATTAAGGCTGAGCATTTTTGCTGTTGAAATTGGATGTGATGAGTAAAACGTTGATCTGACTGACAAACAGAGGGGCTCTGCATGTTTTTCTTCCTTTTTGGCTCTAACTGGGATTTACAAAATTCATGTTGTATTTATTAACACATGCAACTAATGACTGAGCTCAGAATTACTGAGGCATCGAGGATGACAAACAGTCATTGTCCTATAGACTTCCATATGACCAAGCTTCTTTTTTGGAACTAGGGGAGTCATCTTCCTGCTGGCCATTAGAAAGATTCCAGGTTTAAGGCACTGGTTTGTCTTTTCAGACCTTGAAGCTGTATTCCTGTGCTGTGGTCAATCCTGTGTGCAGTTTTGACTTCTCCCTGTTCCTGGTATTCTAAATACATGCATGTTAGATTGATTGGTGACTCTAAATTGGACACTTATGTAAGGCACATAAAGTGGTTTGCGCTGTGAAAGTACTTTGAATGGTCAGTAAGACTAGAAGACGCCAGTTGCAAGTCCAACTTTTGTATACAATATACATTTTAGGCTGCAGTTTAAGGACACAGATATCAACCAGACTGTGTAATGTCACCTCTTATTGTCCCTGAAGAAAAAGCACAGTTTCCTTAACACAGTCAGATGCAAACTGAGAGTACCTCCTCTACTCACACTGAGTGTATTCCTGTAGCAAGGCGAATTCAGCTGGGGTCAGTGTGACCCATTTGTCCTGGCTGCTCATTGTGTTCAGGCCACGTCTCTATATCCACCGTGCATTCCCCGTGCAGCAACACACAGCAGGGAGTCTCACACTGGAACACAACAAGACATCAAAATCAGCCCAATTCACCCCCACAGACATCTTTTCTTTACATAATGTCAGTACAAAAAGCAAAGCTGGTAAGACGCAACAGCTTTGTTGCTGAATAAGACACAACAGGATTACATATATTCTCTAATTAGCTGGAGAAAGCAAACATTTGCTGGCACATTTTAAAGCAATAAAGAAATAGATACATTATTTTTCCTCTGATAATCAGAGCACATTTTTTCTTCCTGCCTGTTCCTCCTTCTGCAGCTGCCATCTCAACTAAAATGTCCCTCTTCCTCTGCTAGATCTTGGTGTTTCAAGCATTGAGATTCGTGTTTGTTAGCCAGAGCAGGATGAATAATTTAAAGTTTAAGACATGTTGGTACAAAATACACTATCATTAAAAAATTTGATCTTTTTATACATAGAAACAAGTCCCAACACTAAAAAACAAACAAGTGATATCTAGTCCCATGTATTCACAATTCAATTTATGAAAATTAAAAACTAACAACCCAGGAAGTGTAATATTTGTGTTATACATAATGTCACAACTCAAATATTGCAGTATATTCCTGCCTATCGTTGCTTTGGTGGTTTTGGTCCTTGTACTTGGAATATGCATTTCAATAAAGAGATTACAAAAAATAAAGCCAGTTATAAAAATACATAATTCGACCATGGGTGTGATGTATGTGCAGCGCTGCAGGAAAGAAAATAAGCCCTGAATCTAAAGTCAGCTCATCTGTTTTGCTTAAATGGTTACATCACGAAATGTCTGCAACAAGTGGAGGGATCCTTGTATGTAAAAAAAAAAATCCTAATTTGGACATTAAAAGATTAGAGATCCGCCTTGGTGCTGCTTCAAAACATCATCCTGAGCGGTTGCTATGAAGACAACGTGATCAAGTTCAGGCTAAATGGGTTTTTGTAGGCAGGTACTTCCATTTTTGAGCAGAGTCCAACATCCAGGGTTTCACTGGAGGTAAATTAAGTGGCGTCAATGTTTGTGCTTCACCAGTACTTTTGTCTGCATTATAACAGCTTATAAAGCATGATGTCAAACAAAACGTGTCAGACTCTGTGGCTGATGTAAAGCATTGTGCTCCACTTAGCAAAGGCAAAACACAGAACATCAATCACATGTAAAACAAAGGTGTGCAAACATTAATTTCAGGTTTGACAGGAGAGTATTAAGGATTAGATATCGTATCAGAGAATGGATAACATGCCTCGCTGATTTTTGCCCTTTAATTAAAGCAAATACTGAATTGCCACGCAATGCAAACACATCTCTGAAGTAGTACCAATTCAGCCAACATCACAGCTCTGCTGTTCAGATCCACATGACCTTGCTTTCCCTTTTATTTTTGTGGAACGAATGTGGATGCAGTTGGATGTTTCTGTAGGTGTCACTCAGGCATCTGTGTGGGTGTGTGTATGTGCGCGTGTGTTTCACATTGCCTGTGAAGCATTTGACCCAATAACTGGGAACTGAAAATCTGGATCAACAAGTGTTCATTCATGTGGAGAATAACTGTGTGTGTGTGTTTGTACGCTTGTGTATATTTAATATACAATAATGTGCTTGGTATGAGGTATGAATTTGTGTACTTTAGTTTGAAATCATATCTAAGATCGTGTGTGTGTGTGTGTGTGTGTGTGTGTGTGTGTGTGTGTGTGTGTGTGTGTGTGTGTGTGTGTGTGTGTGTGTGAATGAATGTTCAGAAAGCTTGTGCCACAGTTACTCTGAAGAGGTGATAGGCTAAATCAAGCCTATATACTTAATTGAGTGTCTTTATTATTATATGCACTATATAGCCAAGATAAAGCAACACAATATGAAGCCACCGGTGCTGCTGCCTTAACACACTGCGTGCGTGGGAATCAGCCTCCCTCACATAAACTTTGATCTGCCTCTGGAGCTTAAACTAGAAATGCTCTGCACTGTCTTTCTTAATGTTTTGCACAGGCAGCAAAAAAAAGAAAAGGAGCTGATGGGAAATCTTGTTGTTTATATCAGATCTCCACTGAGTCTAATTCCAGCACAGAGATACAATCTCAAATATAGTACTGGTGTGTGCAGTACGTTCCTGCTTCGCACTGCACTGTAATCATCCTCCTTTTCGGCGTTGCCTGACTGCAGTGCATCCCCACAAAAACACTCAGCTGGCATCCTCTGAACAAAACCCAGCTCTGCAAATGTTATCAGATAAGCTTCATTATCCGTTAGTAGTGCAGTGAGGAGATAACATGTAGAACCATGTGTTACACACCACTTGGAGAAGATCTTAGCTCAGACACCACTAATGCTTTGACACATAGAATCAGTAGGTAGTGGCCACTGCGACATGCAACACAGGGAATCAGATGAGAATTCAACATGCCTCGCTCACCTGCTGCAGATCTGGAGTTAATCACCAAGACAGATGAGGGAGGAGTCCTTTTGGGCAGGCGTTTTCAGATGCAGCTCCTCACTCACATTCCTGCCGTGCCCTCCTCTTGATCTTCTCTTAGCTGCAAGGCAAGGTGGGTGTTGTGCAATTAGATGGAGTGGAAGAGTGTGTATCTGTGTAAGAAAAAGAGGAAGGAAGGAGCAGCAGCAGCCCTCTCTGCTTCCTGTCAGTGTATGAGTATGTGGATGGGTTAGTGTTTGTTTTTCTCTGAGGCAGAGTCTGGTCAGAGCAGCATCACAGGGGATGTGGGGTGGTGAGAGAGAGAGCGAGAGAGAGAGGATGAGGGAGAGTAAAATCATCCAGCGCTGCTCTGCCTGCAATGATCAGTTTCCATACTCCCGCTCGCTCACGTCACATCCCTCCATCCCTCCCCTCTACTGCTCTGTTATTCACCTTCCCCTCCCTCCCCTGAAAACCCGGAGGTCCTATGCTCTCTCGCTTTCACTCTGGCTTTCTCATTTCCCTCCCTACTACTCCCCAATTCTCTCCTCCTTTCAAGCTATCTTCACTCTGGTCACTGTGTCACACATCAGCCGACCACATTAGCATTCCAAACGGCAGGCAGTAAGTGCAGCAACCTGTAGGATGTTCTCTTCAGAGGGCTGAAAAAAGGTGGGAAAACTAGAAAGATGAAGACAGAGATGTGAGAGAGGGTGAAGGGTGAAGCACAAGTTGAGAATGAAAGACGAGAAAGGGTGACAAATAGAGTGGAAATAGAAAATGACAGAGATGATGCACAGGAGGTGGAGGAGGTGGTGGAGGAGGAGGGCACGCTTTTTGTGAGCAATTTTTTTCCATTCTCTTCTCCCATTTTTGCACAGAGGACACACAAACATAACATCAAACAGATATGAAAGCTCGTTTTCAGTACCCATCAAAAGAGTATAGTCAATAATGAGAATATTTGTGATTTTTAGAATAGCTTGTTAAATGTAGCTGATCTATAAATATATGGACCTAACACTGGTGGTTATAAATCCATTTGTAGTTATTAATTTGAAGCTATAGACACACAAAACAGTTACGAGATGCTTCAACCACAGTGTAATTTTAATATATGTATAGAAAAAAACAGTATAGGTTATGTTGATATGCAACAATAAGCACAGCAACAATATTAACAACAATACCAAAAACAACATGAGATGAGGTACATTATGAGCGTCAGATGTCTAACTGACTAGTGGCTCAGAAACCCATCATGTCAAAGTGCTTGGCATTAAAGAACATATCCACCCTTCCTCTACCCCTGTGTAGCGTAAGCCTACAAAGGTTATAGATCCAGAGAGAATGCCATCACCATGGCTCTCCATGTCACACTGACCTATCTTAAACAGAAGAGGGCATAGTATGTGAGGATGCTTTGTATTGACTAAAGCTCTGCATTAGCTGATAGGTTTCAATAACTTCCTATTTGTGTGAATCAAGGATTTCCTGTCTTACCACCACCACAGTCAGATTTACTGGAACATCTACGTACAAATGCAGCCCACTTCTCCCCACACAGCCTGAACACAAAACAATCATTAAAACTGAATATGTCACAATAGCACTGGGACTAACTTTAAACATGAATTAGAAAGCCTACAGAGATTAAACCAGGATGGTGTAAAATCTCAATTTGTTACTGAGCATCGATGAAACAAAGAAATCACAGACTGCAAGAACCTCTCCCTGCTGAACATTAAAAGAAGGTAGATAGGTGGGTTACCAGTATAAGTTGCATATATGTATAAAAGTCGTAACCACCATGACATCGGCTTCTGGTTTCTGGCTATAAACAGTAAACAACGTCTGTGTCTGAAAATGTATTCAGAAAAAGCAATCTATCTGAAGGCTTAACTGGTGGTGAAAGCACTTACAAAAAGACTGATGGTCCTATAAAAGTTACTCATGTGATGTCATAAACAAATAACCCAGGAGTTGTCTGTCAAACAGGATGTGATATAATCACTAGTTGCTAGGGAAAAATCTGTAATCCCTGACCGATTGTCAAGTATTTCCTGCGGGTTGCTGAAATTGTCTGCAAAGACGTTGCTGTATCAAAAACCTCCTTGTATTTGCTTTGGTCACGAGCAGACTGTCACAGTTGCCTGTAGTTTGCATTGAAAAAAACTGACATGTCTGCAAACACTCACTTACTACTTGCCAAGCGGTAATAAAGCTTAAAAAAGTGCAATGCAAATTTTTACCTTAAATTCACGAATTCTCGATTTCTGGATTACATCACCTTTTTTTTTTTTTTTTAAAGTGATGCAATCCAGAAACAGTTATATAAGAAATTCTCCAAAAGTCACCAACATGCCACCACACAGTTAGAAGGTCCAGTTCAGTAACTCAAGCCTTGACAGCCAATGGCTATTGGCTCCACATACGTTTGTTTCTAGTTGTACAAAAATTTTAACTTCATTTTTACTCAAGCTAGATGCTTTAACATGGGAGTCTATTAGGACTGACTTGCTTTTGGAGTGTCAAGTGGCCATTTGAGGAGCTGTAGATGTTTTAAGATAAGATAAGATAACCTTTATTAGTCCCACACGTGGGAAATTTGTTTTGTCACAGCAGGAAGTGGACAGTGCAAAAGTTATGAAGCAAAAATTAGAATACAATAAGAATAAATACAGTACACAACTGTACAGAATAGAATAAAATAAAATACTATATACAGTAGAATAGAATATACAATAAGATAAAAATAGAATACAAATGCTATATACAACTGAGTAAAAATACAACGATGCCAGAAAAGATTATTGCACTTAGTCTTATTGCACATGTGTGGATGTGCCATTAGCACTGGTGCAGTTTCTATCTTGAAGATTCACAGAAATCTTGCATGGTTAATCAGTCCTGCCTGCCTGGCCACTTAGGAACTATTTGGTGAGCTATTTTTACCACTTTTCTACATAGTGTACTGGATGCATCACAGGATGGCATACCAACTTATAACAGCACACAGGAGAATTTCCCTGAGAGCGATAAACTATCCTGAGAAAAATAAAGGTTTCGCCTCACTGGGAATAAACTGCTTTGGCTTTCAAACAGTCATATTTCTGAGATTAAAATAATGCTTCCTTTTGTGGCTGTATTTAAAAAAGAGGGACAGCTTCCTTAGGTGATGGGTGTTCATCCTTCATTAATATTCAAAACACAGTCATTGACATTTTAGACATTTGAGCTGATACTCCTATTCAAAGAGATGCATGCTGAGTGCTCACATACAAATTAGCTCAATTTGGCCTCAGTTGAAGCAATCAATAGTAATGAAGTCAGAGGGTTAAAGCCACACCACTAACATATGAAATGTGGGAAATCTCCCCAGTGGCACAGAATGACACAAATTGGCACAAATTTAACCGAAATCAAGTTTCAGTGTTGGTTTGATGCAGGAAATGTCTATCGTAAGAATGAGTCACATTTAACCCTTTCAGCCACACTAAGTGCTTTTGTAGTCTGAGCTCAACTGACAGCTGGCTTTTCACTATAGCTTAAATTGTGGTAGTTATAAAGATTTGACGTCGCTCCTTTTTATGATATTTCAGATGATGAAGGGTGTCATCCAACTTTGATTTTGGGGCCTGGATTAAAAGATAAGTCCCAAACACATAAACACAGGTGTTTAAGTGTGCAGCAGAATTGTTTTGTGCTATGTTCACAACAAAACACTTCTGCAGTAGACATGAAGGTGACTCAGCAACAGTTCTTGCCCTGCAGTTCTGCTTTTCACTCAATGTTGTGCAGAGAAAAAGACTTGAGAGTAATAAGCATTTCACTTCTTGGAACAAACCTAATATATCCTATTCAGTTACCAGCCCACCTTTAGATAACCTGTACATTGAAACCTTTTATGTAACCTCCCACCTACTGGAAGCAGCATTTAATCCGACCCACAAGCCTCAGCATGAATTGAGTTTCATAAAAGGTTGCTGAACAATGACCCAGATATTGGCAGTGTGGCAGTGGCGCCTCCAGGCTATCTGGGTAGGTCATGTGGGCGTTTACATTTGTGTCAGAGTGGCAGAGCCAGTTGAAATATTGACATGTCCTTCACATGTGACTAGCAATGACTAACTACAAGACATCTGCTTCTCAGAGTGATGTGCAGCCAGGATCTGGCCGATTTTACTGTATAATTTGAGTATAATTAAGTTCATTCTAAAACAAAGAAATCTATTATAGGAAAAACATAATTACATAAGTGTCACTATTAAAGTTTATTTACACAAAGTAAACTTTAAGCAGCGAGCTGTAAGGAGACACTGCTCTTATCAGCTTGTAAAGCTGTAATGATGAACATGTTGGCCAACATTGCTGCGTCTGCTTCCTCTTTGCATATCAGGCAAACACAAGCTTTTAAATGTCAGTACTTACTGCCTCCGGCTTGGTATCCAACAACTCCTCAGTGAAATGTCTGGCTATTTAGATGCTAAACGTTCCGCTGTGTTTACCAGCTAGCTGATTACTAAGTTTGCTGCGGTGCTTGGCAGGTTCATCAAAGAATTTTTAGTGTAGTTTCAAATTAGACTATAGGGAGTGGGACGTGTCAGACCGAACCAAAACAGAACATTAAAAAGAAAAAAAAATCTATGAACAAAGGCCTGTTCTCAAACCAGTCATACTGATTCTGCAAAATATTAATGAATCCAAACACAAATACACACAAATACAAGTGAGGCCTGCTCTACGAAGGTGGTTTCGTTTACCCTAACATTACCAGTTGGGCTAACCAAGTAAAATATTTTACAAAGTAGTTCAAACTAAAATATATTTTTTTAAATAAATAAATATGTAACACAGACTGAAGGTCTTGTGTGTGAGAGAGAAAAAATATTGTATTTAATACACTGTATGAATGTATATGTGCTTTAAATAAGACCTACTGGATTAATAATGTTTAGATTATATAGACCAGGCAGGGAGGTAGGCAGGTTTGTTGAATGTGTGCAGACTTGTCAGAATTATATTTGTATCATCAAGAAAGTGGAGGGACGTGACAGACTGCAACTGTTATTCCAGTAAATGTTTAGATGTGCATAATATTGTTTTAGCATTCTTGTTTTAGCAACAGTAAAAAAATAAATATTTATAATATAAATAATTCAAGTAGAGCTGTAGCCTACTGGCATTATGCCAAATATAGATTTTTCAGCACAGCCACTTTATTTTTAGAGCCTAAATATTTTAAAGAGTGGCACCAATTTAGCTCGAGTCAAATTCAGTTCTTTATAAAAAATGAATTATT